GGGGAAAAAAGTGGATAAATTTGTACTATGATGTTAAGAGAGCTATATTTAGCCTTTCAATTGATTTTACCTTTTTTTAAATGTTGCCTACTAAGTGATGATACTGGATCAACATTTAATCTGTTGATTGATTTCTATCTTTTTAAATCTCTCTCTCTATAAATATGGTCCACACCAAGTAAAATGCTAAGTCAAATCATCCTGGAGAGAATAAAGGATGCACTGGATCCAGAAATCCACCAACCGGAACAACCTGGATTCAGGAAAGGCAAATCATGTGCTGATCGATTCGCAACTCTGTGCACCATTACCGTCACGGAACAAAGCATAGAATGGCAGTCAAACCTATCTCTACCTCAACTTCATTGACTTCGAAAAGGCCTTCTGCAGACAGCGTTGACCGAGAAATAATTTGGAAACTACTTTAACACTACGGCGTGCAGTGCACAGATCTTTATCAACCTCATTCAACAGCTATATGACAGTGGTACGTGTCAGGTGATCCACAACAGGAAACTCAACGAGGCGTTCGAAGTGAATATAGGAGTAATACAAGCTGGCTGCCTATTGTTACCGATGATATTCCTAACTGTCGTGGAATGGATTATGCGTCAAACTGTGGGGAGCGAGGAGACACGAGTACGCTGGGCCACCAATCAAAAGACTAGAAGATTCGGATTCCGCAAATGACATATGTCCAATGTCACACAAACTAGAAGACTTGCAGGCGAAAATCAACAAACTGGCTGAAGAAGCAGGCGGCGAAGGCAGGATTGCAGGTGAACATATAGAAGGTGGTGATGAAGGTGATGACGATAACCAACGAACCGCAACAAAAACGGCAGCCAGCACCAATCACCATCAACGGGAGAGATTTAACAGAGATTACCCCTTCAATTATCTAGGAAGCATCGTTTCAAATACAGGCAGTGGGAACGGATGAAGATGTCAAAGCCAGTAAGAATTGAAAAGGCAAGATACGCACGCCTTCATCAACCTGAAACCAGTCTGGAAATCTTCCACACTCAGCAAAAGGAACAACGTCAGCATTTTTACAACACCAATGTGAAGTCGGTTCTTCTATACGGATCAGAAACTTGCACTGCGTGTAACGAATAAGATATCCGGCAGGTTTCAGACTTTCATTATCAGCTGCCAACTTTGTTGGTTCCATACTGAAGACCAAATGGTCAGAAGTAATCAGCAACAAGAAACACTGGCGATGAACGAACCAACCGAGAACCGATCGCTCACCAAATATGTAGGAGAAAATGGAGATGAATTGATCGGGGATACATTTAGGAAACCGTCGAATGACATCGCGCTCAATGCAGACCATTGCTTGAGTCTAATCCGAATGGGAAGCGACAAGTGGATCCTCCTAGAGTGACATGGAGGAGATCGTGTGAAGAAGAGATAAGAGATTATGGGCAGCCGTGGATCCAGCTGAAGAGGATGACAGAAAATAGAAGAAAGTGGGGGGGTGTTATTGAAGCCCTATGTTCCACTCGGAACTCAAGCGAATAATAATGATGATAATTTTGTAGCTGGCATCGATCATATCTTCTTTTGCTGTTCAGTGGGTATTTTGGTGTGATCAATATCGGACGAAGTGATTATGATGGCTTGTGTGCTATGTCTGTTTCATACAGTCTTGATATTCTAGCTGTTGTTCCAGAGATATTCTTTATTCATAATAGGATGAATTTTCTTGTGATATTGAGGATAGTTTCTTGTTGGCATTTTTTTGGAATTTCTAGAAGCCTGGTTGGTACTCAGATTAATCAGCCAGCGACTAACGAACACAAACATATTACCATAGACAAAATCTATCAGCTAATAAAAATGAAATCATCACGTGAGAAGAAATTTCAAATTTTTTTTTTTTTTTTTTTTTGATTTACAGCTTGATTCCACACCGTATTTTCAGTACAAGTGTGGAATTTTCAGCATGGATATCGGTAGCCCAAATTCAGGCCGACCATAGATATCGGGTGTGCGCCGGCAGGGATCGAACCCTGGACCATGTGCATGGTTGGCGAGAGTCCTAACCACTGTGCCACCGAGTCAATAAATATGATCAACAGATTATTCATGCATGAACATTCGGAAAAATGTCTATTAGAATCTATCACATTTTCTTCAGAGAAGATGGATCAACTTCTTTTTGTTTAGTTAACGCAATGCCTAATAAATCATGTGAAATAACACTTATCTTATAATTGAAAAAAAACAACAATTTACTGAAAGTTAATCTGAGCATAGAGAAGACAGAGGTGATGTAGATAACCAGCCAACTACAATAACAACAAGTAAAAATTATTATCAAAGGGAGAAATTCGAAAGAGGTCAATTCTTTCAGTTAGCCGGGCACCATCATTTCAATTACAATCACATGAAACATATGAGAATGTGGAAACCAGAATTGGAAAGGCCAGGAAGAACATCATCACTCTGAAATCAGTTTGGAAATCTGTTCCTAAGAAAACTCCCTTCGTGAACCTGGAATTCAAAGGTGACATCGAAGCGGAAATTCTTAGAAAGCGCCTTCCTAAGTGTCTGAAAAAGACATTTTAAGCAGCCATCTTACGTATCACATTCTCCTGCAGACAACTGATCTAGTCTAACGTTGAGGACAAGATACCGTTTTTGCCACGTCAGTGGTGCGTATTTTATCAATTTACTTGCTCGCGTGGAGAAAAGTATATCGGCCGCACGCAAAGTCAAGTTCGCAAACGTATTGTGGAACACTGTCCAGCTTGGCTAGCTATCTAGCTAGCCAGAGAAGAATACCAGCAGATCCATCCTCGAACACCTTGTCAACTCTGGACATCGAGCACCTCCACTTGCATGAATGGTTCACAGTGCTACACAGAGTCCCTCAATATCGTACAAAGGGACTTCGCTTGCGCCATCTGTACACAACTGAATCACTGGCTATTAGGGGTTTGAAAAGGGGCCTCTACATTCAAAAGTGCCACACACATTCATTCGTCAACTTATAGTGGCCAGCGTAACCTTCTCACTATAATTTCGCTTCCTTTTACTATGTAAGTTTACTATTGTTATTATTATTATTATTCTCATCATCCTTATTTTATTATCACTCTACTACTGTTTATTAATAACACTGCGTTTTCATGCAGATTTTATAAAAACACTTCATCGTCTTTCCACTAGTTCTTGTCCACTCTTCACAATTATATTGATTAGTCATTTTGTCACTTACTTATTACTCCAATTAGTCACCCCTTCTAGACTACACCTTACATTACAATATGTAATACGTTTTCGAGGACAAATTTTACCAGTATCTGATTGGTAGTCTTATGAATTCTTTGTTATTAAGAAGAATTCTTTGTTAAATATAATTACGATTGTACATCAGCTTATGAATGAAAATGAATCGTCGAAAAGAAACATTCCTTCGCTGTTTACCTCTTCTCCTTAAATCTACTGTACTCAGAAACAAAGAACGAAATTCGGATTTTCAACAACAATGTTAATTCAGTTAATGCCTCTGTATGATGGATAGGAAATTCGGTATGCCTGCCACGAAAATCATTTCCAGCAGGTTACTGCGGACTTTTGTCAACAGCTGCCTTCACTGACTCACTGACTAATCAGATAGCCAATCAGAATGAATTATTAAGAAGAAACCCTGGGAATGAATCTATCAGGAACTTAGTGAGAAAGCAACAAATATCCCGAAAAAAATGTAAATGGATAGGATACACACTGAGGAGATCGTCGGGTGACGTCGCACGCCAGGTCATTGCTTAAGTGGGAAACGACAACATGGAGGAGATCGTGTGAGTCGAAGGTGATAAGAGGTGATGGTCAATCGTGGGGCCAGTTGAAGAGGACTTCAGAGAACAAGGCAAAGTGAAGGAAGTCTGTTGAAAGCATGTGTTCTGCTCGGGACCCAAGGAAGTTATAATGATAATAGAGATTAGGGTTTGTGATTAAGGTTAAAGTTAGAGGTAGATTAAAAACAAAGTCAGCAATATCAATGTATCTGAAAGTGTCATGGTCTTTAGTCGCTTAGATAAATGCATCTATAGCACATGTTATAATTTTTCTGTGGACTATACTTACAGTAATTGGGAGAAATTCCTACAAGACATAAGAGACCGATGCCCAGTTTAATGTCATATTCATAATGATTTTAACACATTTTCTATCATACGACTTTCAAGTATTGGTCTGTAGGAATGTGATTGATTCGTTACAGGATTTCATCATAGGCAGATATCAGTTAGAGAACCTTTGGAAAACCAATTGATTGTACTGCACAGCTGTTTCGTCAGCCAAGTTTGGGATTGACTCTTCAGTATTACGTACCCACCCCATTGGAGTTCGAACCCAGGACTCGTAGACTGTTAAGCCACTGAGACCCGATCCAATGGCCAGTGCGTGAATTCCAGCTTCTGCCAATCAGTCAAATCCCTACAAACTAATACTTGATTATCAATGGGACGGTCACTAGTGACTGGCCCTATTCAGGTGGGTAGTTACCTAAGCTTCAAGAGGGAAGTCGTGACCAGTGGAGTACAGCAGGTCTGGTGTGAGGACGAATACTCACCAGCGATGACATTCGCTACTGCTAGTTACGCGATATCGTGGTTTACGAGCTCGCCTTGTGACCAGAATGTCCTAGGTTCGAGCTCCAGGGGGCTGGGTGCGTACTGTTGAAGAATCCCACACTAGGCTGACGAAACAGTTGCCTGGGATTACTCTCATTTGAGTTTCCAATAGTTCTCTAACCGGTGTCAGCTCATGATGAAATCCTGACTTATTTCCCATCTGAATTCTGATTGGTTGTTCAAGATCACTATGGTTTTGGTCATAATAATTAAAGTTCACCGAAATCATGTTATGAAAACTACCAACAACCAGAAAAAAAGAATAACGTAACAAATAGAAGAAAAATATAAAATTTGATTATTTCAATCATCTAAAAACAATTAATCATGTATGAAATATATCTGATTACTAACCTTATCGCCATTTCACCTGTTGGATACGGTTTAACATCCTGAAAAGCACTGATAAGATGCGCAACATAACCAAATGTTAAGCCTGTATGCAATTAAAATAGAGAAAAGTACATCAATAGTGAATAATTCTTTCCTATTTCACACAACTCTTGTAAATAAACACGCACACACACACACAAAGTCAAGTACATGAGCTATGCCCTTTTTGCAGCAGTTAAGAGCCCTAATGTCATCTGATACAAGGTATAATCAGGGACTGTGATGTATCTTTGCTCACTTTGTGATAACCTCCATTCCCAGAGGTGAAACAAGTGAAACAATGTGATCTGAATCTTCGAGGAAACCTGATGGAAAATAGTTTCCGTTCACCCAGATTCGTGAACAAGAATCTAAAGCCAAAGAAAACACCTAAAAAGGTTCAAGTCTCTCCCTAAAAGATGCTGCCAGTACTTAACCTCGAATTTAAAAGTGATACCGAAGCAGGACTCCGCAGACGGTTTTTGAAGTCTCTCAGTAAAACATACTTCGCCATCAGCCTGCAAGAACCATTCTAAAATCACGTGAAAAATAAGCTGTCACACTGGTCCACTTCAACATGCATATGCCAGTTCATTTGCTCGTGCGGAGCCGAGTACATTGGCCATAGCACTCGTCCGCTTGTAAAATGCTCTCGAGAATAATACCCAGCATGGTTAGTAAAAGGGAGAAAGCGGGTGTGGATAAAGTTAGGTAAGAGAACATCTGGTGAATTCAAGACATTTAGCTCCATTTGGAAAGTCCTTCAAAGTCCTACATACAAGATACAAAACAAACCTATCAAAGGGAGTGAGATCAAGGCTTCTGGGAATAGCTGAGGCACCAGCGGTCCAGAAACTCAAACCCACTCTATCTGTTTAAAAGAAATACGTCCAAACCTTGTCCATACCATGGCCATCATGAAAAATCGGTCTTACCAATAATGATTATCCCTTCACCTTTCTTATACAGCCTTCCTGTTTGTTACTGTTATTTTTACGTTTTTAAATCCTATCTGCATTGCTAGATTTGGTTGCTGTATGCTCGTAGATTTGAATCTGAAGATTGACATCACGTCCTTCAGGTACATCATACTGACAAATACTAAAAAGGACGAAATTTGGCTCAGCGTCTTTCTACTGACTGCCCCTAACCATTTGACATCTAATTATACTTTTCAATTAACTAATGCGGTAACGGTAGTCAACATACTAAGATAGCCTGCTTGGCAGACGTTCAAAGAAGATGGTTACGAAACCTGTTGTGGACAATGACAATATAGCGACATTGAATGTACCTCCAGGAACACGACAATTCCCTTTTTATGCATTCTCATATAATAGCTTTCATCTAAGTTTAGTTTCTGATCATGTTAAGACTAGTAAACATATAAGGGTTCAAGGCGAGAATGGAACTGGGATTTCGGGAGTTTAAGGCCAGAAAGGAAACAGAAATGGTCTAGGCCTGTTAAACCTGCCCTATCTTGATAATGGGGGATTGTCCGAACATCACCATCTTTGATGTCTGTTTTCAATTTGCGAATAAAAAGGTCTTCACGAAAGTGAAGGCAGTTTTCGTAGTCAGTTCATGTCCAGTTAAAGAACTACGGAATGGAGCCTCTAAAGTGTTTCAAAAGCCATCGGAAAGGTTGATGCTTATGTTCGTAAGAAAGGTTCTTAAGAATGAAGACACTGTGAAACAGCTAAAGACTAAGGGTGCCTTTATTTTCCATTTGGAGATTTCGGAACAACAATGGTCTTTACCAGTGAGCCAAACTGATGATGTATATCTTCAGTAGTTACAGATATGAGAATCACTCTGAGGGAGAGTCTCGGAGTACAGATAGCCCGGAGGCGACGATTCCAAACTTCAAGAGTGATCTTCTTAGTTTAATTAAGTTGCTCTCAACCTGTATTGATGTTCCAGATAATCATCAGAAAAGAATAGCGTATCTAAAGTTCCTTACACTAGAGAGCAGACAGAATGCCATCTCATGGCCAAAATTCCCTGATGGCATGAAACTGGCACTTTGACTTCTGGGTGAACCAGAGTTTCAAACAGCCCAGATTTTATTTCAAGTAACAGTCATTTTGCTTTTATTGTGGCAATCTGTAACTCAAGAAGATTTTGCTCAGTTATACAATAGAAGGCAAAGATCAGTTATCTGAGTTCCGACTGCTAGATGTCGTTTTTAGTCGTTACAGATTGTGAGGGAGGCTTGATTCTCGGGTGAAACATGACTATTTTTCATGGGTTCAGACCCACCTAACAAAAAGGAAACCGACATCTCACAGAAGTTTTCTTTCGAATGATTGTTTCTGATATCTGATGTCTGTTGCACCATTAAACGGCAAAAATAGTGTCTTGACAGTGCTGTTATCATTTCAGAAACTTTATACAAACATATCGGTGTTGATTTTGTAGGGATTTTGTTTGATTGTTTGGAGGACTTCATCATGAGTTGACACCAGTTAGAGAACCATTGGAAAACCAGATGTAAGTTCTGCAGAGCTGTTTCGTCCTAACTTGGGACTCTTCAGGAGTACGCACCCATCACCAGGGCTCAAACCCAGGACCCTCTCGTTACAAGGCGAGCTAGCTCCTAACCATTAAGCAGCCACTGAGATCTGATCCAATGGCCAGTCAGCCCATGAATTCCAACTTCTGCCAATTCACGACATAGCGCGACCACTCCGCAATGTCTTCCTCGATGAGTTACTGTGTCATCTTCAACCTGCTGCACCCTACTGGTCACGGCTTCCCACCAGAACCTCAGGTTAATTGCCTGAATAGGGCCAGTCGCTAGTGAGCATCAGGTCATTGGTTTTGTAAGGATTTTGTTTAATTGGTTAGAGGGTTTCTGTGACAAAATGTTCCTTGCCGCAGCACTGTGTCTAAAATTTGCCACTCGTTGTATATTTCCAAAGCACGTGAAGGATAAGCTACCGAGTCTGACCACACCTCATCAATGTGCATTTATATATTTAAATGTTCACGTGGAGACAGTTACACAGGTAGAATGACTAGGCAAGCCCACTGTTGCCTTCTTGAGCACTGTCCAAAGTGGTTAGGTCCGCTGGCACACCTAGCGGATACGGAGCACAAGATTAATGAATATTCAGCTTTTACAATTCTCTACAAGGTGCCACCTCAACTCCCTAGATTGTTATGTCTTCGGTTGCTAAGCATAGCTGAGGCAGTTGTCATAAGGATTTTTAGACCCAGTCTCTATGTTCAGAAAATGTTTGTTCAATCTGTCTCCCTCGCTTAGCCTTAGCCTCCAACCTAAAATAGTTATTTCTCCCGGTGACGTCGTATGTCTGTAAATATTATTTTATTTTGTTTTTCTTTTCTTTTTATTGTATTGCTAGCTGTATTGTCAGTATCATGCTGTGCAATTAATAGTGTTCTCTGAGCTGGTTGGTTTATTGGCGAAGCTTTCGTCATCCTTCTGGACAACATCTTCAGCGCCATATTTAGCACAAAGTGAAGCACTCATGAAGAAATTTAAATCATTTCACTTTGTGCTAAATATGGCGCCGAAGATGTTGTCCAGAAGGATGACGAAAGCTTCGTAACTAGACTAACAAGCTCAGAGAACACTATTAATTGCAAATCATCCACCTGAGCTACAAATCTTCTCTATTATTTCAAATATCATGCTGTGCTGTGGGTGTACATTTTATTCTCGGTTTTGCAAGTCATTATTATTAATATATTATATAATCGCTGCGTGACAATAGTTGTTTTCCCCTCTATCCCTACCAATGTGCACATTCTGTTCATGCAGTCACCGTTGCCTAGATTATATAAACACCTGAATGAATTTATCCTTGTTATTATTATTATTATTATGATCACGTCGATTGTTATCCATTAATTCACATCCCTCAACTCTGATCCTATATAAACTTATTTACCACACAAATTCAAAATGCCTATGAATAATATTTTATTATGTATATATAAAGCCTAATTAGAATCTACCGAAAACACGTATTTGCTTGCCTAAATCGTGTTCTATAATTGCCAATATGGGAATATTTAAATTATATCTGTGATACAAAGTAAAAAATAAACATCCCTGGAGACGGCACTGTTCCAATTATAAATGGTTGACAAAACCTGTTTGTTTGTCATCGAACAAATTAAGTGTAATCTGTTGCAAGAGAAGTAGCCAGGCAGTTTGAAATTCTGACTTATTGTTGCTTACTGGATATATCGTGCGTCGGTGGCACATTGGTAGAATGCTCGTAAAGTGGTTTGGGGTTCGAGCCTCAGCGGACACATTCTTTTACCTCACTAAGCCAGTAGTAAGACTGGTAAAGAGGGAAGCTTAGGCATGAGGCTAGCAACCGGAACCCGTAAAAATAAACGCCACTGCTACCAAAACTTCAAGCCTCTAGCTTGAAGCCCTATGTCCCACACTGGGAACGTAATGAAATAAAAAATCTTGATATATCAAACACAGTGATAAAACATTATTTTGTTCACTGGCTGGCTGACTAGGTTTCGAACACAATTTTGGTGATTGACAACGTTTCCTAACCATCATGTGATAATTTTGCTGAGTAGCTGTCTGATTACTGCTAGCTTGACTGTTCTGTCTCACCAGTCATCACTCTTCATTAGAAATTCAAGAACCTCATCGTGTTGGTAATAATCTCATTAGGAGAAAAGTGAAACAAATATGGAGCGACTTTGGTTTTTTAAGGTATACAGGGTGTAAATACATGTGTAAAACTTTGGAACTGTGGTAGTAAGTAGTCCCATATTAGTTTGTTTATTATATATATCACACACAGTCAATGTAACAGTATTATTTACTGGAAGACAAAGTTTCGAACACAATTTGTTGTTCATCATCTCTTCATCAAATATGATCACACAACTTCGAAACATGAGTTGTATAGTTTTCTTTATTCTCTCTTATATATCGTCGTAGGCTTGGTAGTCGAATTTTCCAGATGTCGATGTCGACAGGTGTTGAATTACTCCTATTACACGTATCTGCAGTTGACTCGATAAACAAAGCTTCTGTTATCAATCTCTCCTATCCCGCTTCCA